AAGCGTCAGCTACAAGATTGGATTTTCTAGGTTTGTAGAATATTTCAAAATCAAAACCTTGTAGTTTAGTTATCCACCTTTGTTGCTCGGGAGTTTAAATCCTTTGAAGCAATAAATTTCTCAAGCTTTTCTGATCTGTATAGATATAAAACTTTTTCCAATTAGATATTGATGCCATCTTTTTACAGACTCGGTGATGACAAACATTTCGCAGACATACACTGATGAAGCCTGCATTCTCGGGCACATCTTCTTGCTGAAGAAAGCAATAGGATGATCTTATTGGGACAAAACATCACCTATGGTGTCGCTGGAAGCATCCATTTCAATAATAAAGGGTTTTGTAAACTTGGGGAGGGTTAAGATCGATACACTGGTCATTTTGTCTTTTAATTCTGTAAAGGCTGCAGCAGCCTGTGTACTCCATATAAAACTAGTAGAACGTAACAAATCAGTGAGGGAAGCAGAGAGAGTGGCGTAATATTTAATAGAACGACGGTAAAATATGGTAAGGCCTAGCAATCCATGGAGTGTCGTGAGAGATCTGGGAGAAGGCCAATCTAAAATGGCTTTTATTTTGTCCGAATCAGGGGAAACACCCCCCCCCCCCCCCCTCGCGCAGAAATAACATGCCCTAAGTAATCAATCTGAGATGTTGCAAACACACACTTGGATAACTTCACATAGAAGTTTTGAGCCTTTAATAAATAAAAAACAACCTACAAATGGGTTAGATGATCGCTAAAAGTAGCACTATAAATTTAAATTTCGTCAAAGAAAACCAACACAAAACTTCTTAAGTAAGGCCTTAGCAAATCATTCATCGTTGATTGAAAAGTAGAAGGTCCATTAGTTAAACCAAAAGGCATAACTAGGAATTCATAGTGTCCGTCAAAAGCTCAAAAATCCATTTTATACGTATCCTCCAATGCAACTCGAATCTGATGGTACCCAGAGCATAAGTCCATCTTGGTAAAAATGGTGGTTGAACCCATCTCATCTAATAACTCATCGATAGTAAGAATAGGAAATCTATCATTAATAGTAATTTCATTAAGGGCATGATAATCAATGTAAAATCTTTGTGTTCCATCCTTGAAGAAAAAGGGTTGTGACTCGGGATAATAGTACCCTCCTTCAACATCTCCTGAATAATTGTGGCCATAGCCTCTTTCTTTGAATGGGGGTATCTGTAAGGTTTTACATTGATGGGAGGTATATTAGGTAAAAGTGGGATGTGGTGATCACGAGGTCTAGGAGGGGGAGGCCATGGGGAATCTGAAAGATGGATTGTTATTGTGTTAAAAGGTGAGAGAGCTGAGGTGGAAAGGGTGATTGTGTAGTGGTTGTGGGTGAGATGGGTAAGTTATGAGGTGTGGGTGAAATATGTAAGGGTTCCATGATCAGAATATGGAAAGAGGCCACAACATCGGTATGAATAAGTTGACGCAATTGATGGAAAGTGGAATGAATATGGTGAGATTTAGGGTCACCTGCCAAAGTCATAGGTTTGTTTTGATGTTGGAAAGTAAGAGAAGGAATTGAAAAGTACGCTTGGATGGGACCCAAGGTTCTTAACCAAGCCATACCTAGAATTATGTCTGCGCCTTTAATTGGGAGTAAATAGAACGTCAAAGTAAAAGGTTTATTCTACAGTAGGATTTGAACATTCTTACAGACTCCATCGCATTGTAAATAAGAGCCATTTCCAACCATTACAAAAAACTGACTAATTGGAGTAGTCTTAAGATGGAGGTGGTGAGCAATTCGAGGCTGCATGATGTTATGTGTGTTTCCTGTGTCAACGAGAATCATAACAGTTAGACCTCCAATGGACCCTCTAAATTTTAAAGTTTGAGGTGAAAATTGACCTGTCAAGGCTTGAGGAGAGAGCTATAAATATGTGCCATTAGTGTATGGTTCACTAGGGGTTTCAATAGCACTTGGAATATCGAGTTGATCCTCCTCCGAATTATCATCAGCCAATAGGATGAGAAATCTGCTAGTAGTGCATTTATGACAAATGAAAAACTTTTCCTTGCAATTAAAACATAAACCCTGAGCTCTTCTTTCTTGCAATTGAGATTGGGTGAGACAGTGAATGGGAAATTTAGTGATAGGTGGGGAAGTAGTATGTTGGGAAAGCTAGGGGTTGGTTTATAGGTGTTGGTGTAGGAAAAGTCATTAGAAGGTTTATGGTAGTTTGAGGTAAAAGATTTGGACAATTTTTCCTTCGAATTTATAATCTTGGACTCAATAAGTTTGGCAAGGACTATGGCTTGTGAAATAGAGGTAGGATGGTGAATAGAAATTTCATTTTGAATTTCTAGTTGGAGGCTGAGATAAAATAGTTTAGAATTGCTTCTTTTGGTAGCTCAACAACCATGTTTCCTAACTGATCGAATTTAGTTTGATATTTCACCATTGATCCCGTCTGTTTGAGCTTAAAAAGTTCAGCTTGGTGATTTTCGAACGTAGACGGTCCAAAGCGTAATTCTAAGGATTTCGTAAAAGCAAACTAATCTGTTAAAAACTGGTTTTGAGACATCCATTTAAACTAGCATAAAGCATCTCCCTTCATATAGAAGGAAATTAATGATAAATGATTCTCAGGTGGTAAGTTGTAAAATCCAAAAAACTGCTTTGCTTGGAAGAGCCATTCTAATGGGTTCGATCCATCAAAAAGTGATAGCTCAAGTTTTGGGATTCTAAAAAGGGGTAATGAAGGTATTTGTGTGAGTTGCTAGTATGGAATCTGCTGGTGAAAGGGATGAGGGTTATTCTAGTTTTGCATAAATGCGGCTTGGGAATGCTGGCCATGTGGGTATGGTGGAAAAGGTGGTGGTGGTGGAACTGTTGTGATTAATGGTGGGATGGTGACAGCAGTGTGGGTGGGGGATAGAGTATATGTGGTTGCGTTACGTAAGGGAGTGTGAAGCGGTGTTGTCACGGTGGTGATGGGTGGGTTAAGCCAAGAAGAAGAAGGAGGAGTTCGGGTAATACTAGAAGATTGCTCAACAGACATGCTGGAAGCAGATTGCTGGTTTTCTCGTTGCATAACGAGTTGGTGGAGAATCGTCATAATTGATTTGTGCTGAGAAGCTGCAATGTTCTTCTCTTTGTCAAAACGCGAATGAATTTCGCTGACCTAGTGCGTGAGATTCAAGGTAGCTAAGTTGAACATTTCATCCAACTGTTGTTGTTGTTCTTGCATGACATTATTCAAATTGAGTTGAGCAATATGAACAACTTCTTCCACAATATCTTTGGAAGAAAGGTTTGTGGGTTTTGGGGGAGCCATGAATTCAGGGGCATGAAAGCACCAATGTTAAACTATATTAAGTTAACCTAAGATCTAAAATTGCATAAGAGGACAATAAGAAAAAACAACTTTTCTTCTTACTTCAACAAGAGCACAATTACAACTTATATAGTTAGGTTCATAAACTTAATGGACCACGGACCAGTCAACTACTAACACAAAAGTCCAAAAGATAATATAAAAATTACTAATTGCACCTCCTATCTTAAATATAATCTTTTAAGAGAATTGATCTTCTTTTCTCTCTAATGGACATATCTTTCTTCATAACAAATTCAGATAAGACTTGGACCATTGGTGTTCTTCCTTTCCTGATCCAAGTGTATTTTATGAATTTAGGTCTTTCTAAACCTTAATTGTGTTTTTTATATAATATGTTCTATCAATTTCAAAATGATTGTCATTTTTATTTTTTAATATAGATATGATTGTTATTTTTTTCAATTATAATTTTTAATTATTTATTTTTACATTATTTCCAATACATTAATATTAATATGACAAATTTAATAAAATTGTAATATTTTATAAATAATAATATTATATTCATTAATTTCTATGCAAAAATCTTAAACGGACATTTATTTTTCATAAATAAAAAAACTAGACTAATAGAGTTTATCAAATACTTCATGTGCTTAGACTACTTGTAATAAGGGTGGTGAATAAATTTTTCAATAGTTGAATTGCTTCAATGAATTGTTGAATAAGGTATTGTACGTGACATAGATTAATTTGTGTTGAAAACATTCAACATGTTGAATCACTTATAATACTTTACAAAATATAATTGGTTGTTGTGATTGTTTATATTTTTATCTCACCTAAATTATTTGGAGTCAATTATTTTATAGAAAATCAATTTTTTTAAATTTTTTTTTCACCAAAATTCATCATTTTTTTTGTCTATAAATAGAGCCTTGGTTCATTTGATTTGGACAAAAAAAATCTATTTTTTCTCTCTAAGTTTTCTATTTAGCCTCCAATAAATTATTGTTTGTAGCTCTAAACAATTTTTTAGTGAAATGAATCCCAACAATAACCCTCTTAACACCCAAAATTCTACTAATTAAAATAAGTTTTAAAATTTAAAAAAAAATAATATAAATTATTTAACTCTTAGTTATTTTAATTTAATTTCAATTGATAATTATTATTAATATATAATAAAAAAACAAAAATATAAAAAAAATAAATAAATAAAAGTGGTGGGGTAAGGTGTTGAATTTTATTAAACAAAATCATTGTAGTGAATAAAAATTGAATGAGTGTTAAATTATTAGGTGAAAGAGAGAAAAGATAATGTAAAGTATAAAAAATGAAAAAAAAATAGATGTTGAATAATTTTGTGATCGTAGATAATCTTAGCTAAGTGAATCTTGATACTGCCCTTTCATTTGTTGGAAAACAAGGATTTGTAGATGGACATAAAACATGATATAAATAAGCAAGTTCGACAGCTTTACTAATAAAATATCTCGTCATAAACTAGCAAGGGATTTTTTTTTATGTAACAACATGCATCTAACTCATAATCAATCAATGAAGAACCTTTTTTTCTCCCTTCACCCAAACAAAATCTAAACAACGTAATTGGTTTTTGTATACAATTTCTCAAGAGAGAAACAGAAATTGTCCCTTCCAACATTATTATAAATTATTGACTCAAAGGTTATATATGGTGAAAAAGCTAGCCTTAGCATCCTCCACACCTGTGAATCCAACATCCAAACAAAACACCAACTACCTTCAGATATTATCCGAATTGTTGTCTGCTCATAATCTCATTTTTCTCCCTTTTTATTTGTCTCTCCTTTGTTTCTCTTCTTCCCTCTTCTTGTTGCTCCTCTCTTCTTTGTTTTTACTTTTTGCTTCTTTTCTTTGTTTCTCTTCTTCTCTTTTCTTGGGATCTTCCTTCTTGTTCTTCTCTTCTTTGTTTCTATTATTACTTTCTTTTCTTTTCTTCTCTTCTTCTCTTTTCTTGGGATCTTCCTTCTTGTTGTCCCTCTCTTCTTTGTCTCTATTCTTTATTTCTTTTCTTTGTTTCTCTTCTACTCTCTTCTTGGGATCTTCCTTCTTGTTCCTCTCTTCCTTGTTTCTTTTCTTCTCTGCTTCTATTCTTTGTTTCTCTTCTTTCTTTTTGGAATCTCCTTCTCTTTTCCTTTTCTCCCCTCTCGGATTTGGATTAGAGTAAGGCAGAAACAATGAAAATGAAAGTGTATATCACTCCAACTGAAGAACATATTATATAGTCTATTTCGGGAAAGTTCTTGAATTGAGATTGTGGATATGATATAAATATAATGCTATTTTCTCTAAGTTAACTCTCTAAACCAATATTAGGATGGAAGCTAATCATAGAGGCATTGATTCACTTAATAAATCAAAAAAAGAGAAGAGAAAACGTGTGGCTAAGACGGGTTCCAATGGGTCCACGCGATTAAACAAGTAGAGATTAGTAACAGTGTTACGAAGCAACTTGCATGTAACATAGAACTGAGTACGAAAATCAGATGGAAAAAGTTCAACATAAAAGTAAGATATAAATATGGATATTTTAGTAATTAAATGAACAAAAATGTAAATATGTATTTGAATAATGAAATATTATAATAATAATTTTTTTTTTAAATATACATTTTTTTATTTTTAAAATTGTTTGATTAACAATTTCATTATCTCATTAATCAGTTACATTTTACTAACTAATTTTTTTACCCTTGATGTACCAGTATAGTATAGGAATAGTATAGGAATAGCATTCTTGTTAAATGAATGGAGTCATGAAGGACGGATTCACAATAATCAATAGTCTAATCTAGTGTTTTTTTTTACAAAAATTTGCTCTTACTAGCTCCAATTTTAATTATAAAAAAAATAGATTTATTAAGAAGGATAATTAAATATATTTAATTTTTTATTTTAATTTATAAAATTAATATGATAATTAATTTATCTTTAATTATTATTGTCATTCTTTGAAAATATAAAATAATTAATATAAGGATAATTTTAAAAATGATGTATTAGATGTGCTTATAAATTTGTATACATTTGTTTATATATTTAGAAAAATGATATTTTTACACTAAAATTTTAGACTACATTATATTTTACTGTTTATTAATATGATAAATAGTAAAATATTATAATAATAAAATAATTTTAAAAAATAATTTTTTTTATAATTTTTTTGTATTTAAAGATAACAATATAAAATTGTGAGATTAATCAATTTTATAATTTTATTAATTAATATTTTATATTTAATTAATTATATATTATTAGAAATATTTTTAATATTTGAACGTTTATTAATCAATTTTATAACTTTATTAATTAAATTTTTATATTTTATTAACCATTTTATCATTAAAAATTATTTTTAATATTTGAGCATTAATTTAATCAATTTTATAATTTTATTAACTAGTTTATTATATCTTATTAACTAATTTTATTTTAATATTAAAAATTATTTTTAATATTTAGTGTTTATTAATCAATTTTATTATTTTATTAATTAATTTTATATATTTTATTAATCAATTTTATTTTACTATTAAAAAATACTATTTAGAAATACTGTTCATGTTTATTGTTCATGACAATCTTCACGTCAGTATTTATTATTCATATTTCTGCTCACTGTATTTGTAAACAAGAACTATGGTGTAGTGTATGATGGAGTGTAGGAATAATATTGCTCATATATTCAAGGCTAACCAGCTACTACTATGTATCAAGAAACATTTCTTGCGGTACCAAAAAGACAGAAGAAGAGGGATAATAAATTGAAACAAGAATACAAAATACTACTTATGACTTTCTCTAATATAGGTATTTGATATCATTTTATTAAATTTTGTAGATTTTATTATATATTTATATTGCTTTTAAAGTTAAAAATGCTCATAAACGTTTAGGAAAATTTATCAATTATTTCTATATTCTAACATTAAATTTTTTGGACTAAAATATCCTCGTATAAATAGTTAATATTTTTTAAAAAATTCACTTTTTTATCCATGCTTTAGAACTCTTTTGGATCAAAAAAAAAAAACTCGTTTAAAATTAGAATATTTTTCATAACTTTTTAGATTCAGAAAATACACACCAGAATAGATCAAGTGAGCCTTCTGATTTTGAAGTTTAAATCAGAACACATTTTCTCAGTCTTTCGGTTTTCTTTTTTGATTCGGACCACTTTTGAAAACTCATATGGTAGAATGCTTTCACAAAGTGTTCCGATTTTTTTAGATTTTTATATTTCGAAACCCTTTCCAAATGTGTTCTGATTTCGTTTTTTTTTTATTTTGTTGGTGTATTTTTTCTTAATTTCACAGTGGCGCGAACACGAGGCAAGAACGGTATTACAAATCGTAGTTTAGGATGATGGGTTACACCGATGTTAGCAGGAGAGGAAGAGCATATTTATGTATTTACATCTGCTCCACAGTCAATTGGCTTTTCAGGAGGGCTGACTGATGATACATCTCTTCTAGTAGTAATGTATGAGCATCGTATTGCTCGACATTTATGGTTTTGTGAGGTAAATAAAATAAATTTATTTTATATTGAATAATTTTTTAATTTTTAATTGTATTTTATAATATGTGTATATTTATTTGTTTTTAAGAGAGAAGTCCAGAGAAAGAGTTGAAAGTTGTTGGACATGGACTCAAGCTTAAAAAGATGGTTCATGTTGCTCTCCTACCAAAGATGGAGGTTTGGATGTCTAGATCTGGTTTATCTTCACTTAAGAGAATCGATTTGACAAAGATAGACCCAAACCTGATATCATAATTTGTAAAGAGATAACATCTAGAGACATCTTCTTTTCACATGCCATTTGGTGAGATGAGTATTACTCTGGATGACGTTGCTTATATGCTTCACATGTCCATTTGGGGTGTGTTCTGGAGCCCCGAACATGTCACCAAAGAAGTTGTTTGTGAACTTGTTGTTGACTACTTAGGAGTGTCACCAAGACTTGCAGAATGGCATATCCGTAGTTGCAGGGGTGCTTATTATAAGATGGAGTGGTTATACTACTTATTCGTACAACATTGAGCTACTTTTAGATGAGACTGTGCGACGAAAGCGTATTTTATGTTGTTGGTGGGGTGAACCATCTTTGCCGACAAGAATTTTACGCTTGTCGATGCCCCATATTTGTTATTATTTAGGGACTTGGATAGACTTCATGGTTATAGTTATGGAGCAGCTGTGTTGGTTACCTTCTACAGATATCTTGGAGATGCATCCATGTTCAGTTACCCTTTACATATATCTTGGAGATGCATCCATATTTAGTTGTAAGCAGTTTGGAGTGGTATTATCGTGTGTCACATCATAAGTTGGTGTCACCTCCATGTGACGCGCCTAGAGAGGTGTCAATTCCTACTTACGAAGCAGGACCATATGATCTGAGTTAGGCTTGTGTTTCTACCTTGCTTCATTGTTATCTCCAACAAGTTGATGCTGACAACGATGACCCACGGTTTGTTGATTTATTTGAAGCTTTACAGATTTCTCGTTCGCATTGATTTATGTTTCTTTTAGACTTATGTTTCATATGTATTAACTTTAAGACTTATGTCTAATTTTTAGACTTATGTTTAATTTCTCATCAGTTTTGATATCTTGAGATCTTGAGACATATGAAGTTAAAACTTAATGGCATAGTACCATATTCGTGTTTTGGTTACATATTTATGAAGGTGCAAGAAACATAAGAAATAAGGGTTCAAATTGGGTTTTTAAGAATATAATATTTTCGAAACCAAACACTTGAAGTTGACAAAAAAACAAAAATAAATGAACACAATTATTTTTATCCTGGTTCACTGTTAACTAACTTAATTCAGTCCACCCACCAAGGAGATTTTCCTTTCTCAATAAGGACTTAATCCACTATAACCAAACTGAGTACAGACACAAACAAAGACTAACTATCAATGTTTACAACCACAAAGACTGTCCGTCAATGTCTTCTTGAGAATTCTGACTAAAGCCCTAGTCTCTCAAGGAACCATCAACTCAAGGTTGAAATACGAGATTGTGTGTTTACAAGATGCTTCTAAGAAAGTAGATTCACACAAGTTGAAATACACAGAAATAACACTGCATTGTTAGAAGAAAGTTAGCAAACAACAGTTCCTTGCTAGCAATTTAACGAAAACAATTTCCTTGCTTTACAAAAGATTTAAAATGAAATTTCAGCAGTGTTTTAGTGCAAGTTTTGCAGTGAGTCGATTCGCCAGTTCTTCAATCTTGTAAGTCTTCTTTTATACCCAAAAAGAAATCCATTGTAGGGTATATTAGGAATATCAGGATTCCAATTGTCTTCTTGCATAACAGTCAGTGTGAGTGGTAAACAATATCGTACCAATAGTACAATCCTTTTACCACAAAATCAGAGTAGTTGAAGAAGGTGAGCATGTACTATTTCTCACGTAAAAACTTTTGATCTTATCTTCTAATATTCAAAGGCTTCAAAATATGTATGAGTTGAAGCATGTTTAGAAGGATCAAAACTTATTTTTAAAACATTCGTCACGAGAGTCTTCAAAACTTGTTCATCATAACCTTTTCTTCAGAGTCTTTAGCATATTGGTCTTCAGAACAGTTGGTCTTCAGAGTCTTCAGAACTTGTTCACCAGAACCTTGTCTTTGTAATCTTCAAAATCTTGGAGCTAGAGATCCTAGAATCTTCAGAGCTTGAGAAGCCATTAGAATATCTAGTGTTAGAGTCACCGACAAAAGCTTTAAATGTTAACGTTCATCAGAATTGTTACTTTATAAGCATTCAGATACATGTAACACGCACGTGTATCACTTAGTGTGTTTAGTCGATAGTATGATGATGTTACATGTCATATTTTCAGTGTCAGAACCTGTTAGCAAAAGCTACACACTAGATAAAAACCATTAGGATACTAAATTATTATCTAATCACCCATGTATTTTTATCATCAAAACTAAAGACCATATGCAGAGTCAAATCTTGTTCTTATAATCTCCCCCTTTTTCATGATGACAAAACCATGTATTTTTGATAAACAATTTATACTAGGTTTAATCACATAAATCATTTCAGAGTTAGCT